GGCGGTGTGGCGGCGAACTGTACGCGGGTGTCGCGGGCGCGATGTATGCTCAGGACTGCTGGCGGGTCAGCCGCGCTGGTTGGACGGGCTGGCCAAGAGTCTGGGTTACGAGAGTGCGCACCATTACGCCGTGGTCATCGATGCAGGCTCCTCCGGCACCAGGGTGCTCGCCTACAAGTTCCGTGTTCCCTTCGCAGGTACACACCAGATACACCCACACATTATTTTATACATTACACTATGCCTAAATACATACAGAAACATTAGCCTTATTAAGATGTCAACGTTTATGTTCCCTCACTAATCATACTGTTGCTTGACTAAAAGTAAGTAGGTACTGTGAGGAATTAATCAGAGGAGCGAGCTAGTTTTTGTATCATATTACAAGTGCTGTCATATTACACATCCTTGATACGATTTGATTACAGTATTCGGTGAGCCGAGCTTGGACCTGGTAGAGGAATACTTCGAGCAATCCAAGCCAGGTCTGTCTTCATACGTGGACGATCCAGAGAAGGTAAGTACTTGACGCATTATCACAATCTTTACAACATAAGTGTGTCCCACTGCGGTCGGGTCTTTGTGATAAGTACTCGTTTAGTCGATTTTAAATACAAACACAAGTAATGATGAATTGATCAGTGGTAGATCCCGCGACAACAGTATAGTTGTGTACACGCATCGTCCGGTTCCACCGGTGAAATACCGCGACCACACACACACAAGATAGGCTCAGTGACCACTTGTAGTACATGGCAAGACGCCCCCCCCCCGCTTTGGTTTTTATGTAGTAATTCATAATTATCATTTTTAATCATGTCACAAACACGAAAAAAAATTGGCTCATACTCGTCTTTATTACATAAGACTGCATGCACACTTAAATTGCTTGTGAATTATGTATTATGAGAAATGACAACTAACGACTACGTGACAATAACCTGAGCCACCCTCCCGCTTCTGTGATTGACTGTATGGGTAAATTCTAATTCTAATTAAAAAATCCAGCCGGCGAGAATCAGCGTCAACATGGAGTTGGAATGTATCAGAGGCGCGTGTGTATGCATGTGTGTGTGTTTTTTTTTTATTTTTTTATATCACAAGGTGGCAAGAGCGGCCACCTGAAATCGCTGAAATAGCGAAGTGACCGTTGCCCATAGACATACGCCATTGCATATGCGTTGCCTACCTTTAATCGACGGAGGAGAGAATGCACATAAATAAAATATTTTCCCTTTCCATGCATCCTCTCATCCGGAAAGTCCACTTCCACTTCCCATTCTTTCCTTATAAGAAATAGGATAGGAAGGGAAAGAGGACTAATTTTGGCCTCCGGGACGCACACTCATCAGACGAAACGCGGAATTGCTTCCACTTGACGCCTGTCTTCTGTGTGGTCGTGGTATTTCACCGGGCGAGCCGGGCCGATTCGTGCGAAGATGTTAAAGCGGGCTCTACCACTGACTGTGTGTGTGTGTGTTAGGGCGCGGAGAGCGTGGTGAGACTAGTGCGCAAGGCGGAGGTGCTGACGCCGGTGGCGGAGCGTTCGCGCACGCCGCTCCTGGTGCGCGCCACCGCCGGCCTGCGTCTGCTGCCGCCGCACAAGGCGCAGCGCCTGCTCGACCACGTCGCCCGCGCGCTCGCACGGTCAGCCACCGCCGCTACCTTCTTCTATTGCTTTAATACGTCATTGTCTCGGACGTGCACGAGCGGTGCTCGGAGTTGCAGTCGTTGTCTCGCGTTGCAGGATGGGGTACGCGGCGGCCGAGGGCGGTGCCGACGTGCAAATCATGGACGGGTCCGATGAGGGCGTCTTCATCTGGTACACCCTCAACCTGCTGCATGGTGAGTCTCGCAGACGCGGCGCGGCGCACCACCCGCTACGACGCCGTCAAACATCGGAACGAGGTTTTTCCGATTGTCAAATATGATAACGGCTTGTTGTGACGTACGTCAGGAACGGTGGGTCGCCGTCGACTATTTTGCGTTAAATAAATGTTAAACGAGTATTTTGCATTGTAAAATCGCCCCAAACCTTTTCCGGCGATTCGTCGCCTTCTCACGCCTATGTGTGTGTCCGTGCCTCAGATCTGATGTCGGGCGAGACGATGGCCGCGCTGGACCTGGGCGGCGGCTCGACGCAGATCACCTTCCAGCTGGAGGCGGAGGAAGCGGATGAGGCGGCGCGCGCCGAGCCCGCGGACACTCGCGTCGTGCGCGCCGGCGCCGCCAACCGCACGCTCTACACGCACAGCTACCTGCGCCTCGGCCTGCTGGCGGCGCGCCACGGCGTGCTGCGCCGCGAGGCCGCCGCCGACCGCGACAACTTCACCACCGTCTGCGCCGACCCCATCGTGCAGGCCGAGCCCTGGACCTACGCCAACCGCCGCCACCTCGTCAGCGGCGCGCCGCGCCCGCCCGCCATGAAGCGCGAGGCCGCCTACGAGCGCTGCCACGCCCTCGTGCGCGCCCACACGCTGGCCGAGCTGGGCCGCCCGCCGCCGCGCGCGCCGCCCGCCGCCGCCGCCATGAGCTACTTCTACGACGTGGCGGCCGACGCCGGCCTCATCGACGTGATGGCGGGCGGCCGCGTCTCCGTGGCGCAGTACCGCGCCGCCGCCGTGCGCGCCTGCTCCGCCGCCAACGTGGACCAGCCCTGGGCCTGCCTCGACCTCACCTTCGTCACCGCGTTGCTGCACGACGCCTACGGCATCCGCGACGACGACAGCGTCTCGGTCGGTGCTCCCCCCACCCCCCCCTCACCGTTCGCCTACGAGCGCCTAGCGCCTTCTACATTGTGTGTTTCTTTTTTTAGTTGTTCAAGAAGGTGAACGGGCACGAAGTGTCGTGGGCGCTGGGGCTGGCCTACACCACGGTGCGCGCCCGCCTCGCCGCCGCGCCCCACGCGCCCCACGCGCCCCCCGCACCCGGCGCGCCCGCCGCCTAACCCCCCGCGCGGCCGGTGCGGCGGTGCGGCGGTGCGGCGGTGCGGCGGTGCGGCTCTGCGGCTCTGCGGCGGTGCGGCTCTGCGGCGATGCGGCGGTGCGGCGACAACATCCCAACACTTCTATTGATGTATTATAGAGATTTAAATATAAATATACAAGTTTCCAATGCAAACGTGTCGACGTGTGCTGTGATCAATACACACTTATTTTCTTATATTATTTAATAGTGACAATTGTGTATGTATGTATGTATGTCGTGCTCTCATGTGTTGCAACTCCAATGTATGTATCGTGACAATATTGTACATTTGTGTCGCGTAATGTTTTATATTTGCACTCGTACACCGACTTCACTTTCATTTATATGTTTATGTTTATTTTACGAGTATTATATATACAATTGAATCTTAAGCTATTTACTTGTAAATTCTTCCAAAGTTTAATAAAATGTTGATAAATATTTAAAGCTTTTATTATATGATAACCATTTTTAAAGTAGGTATTAAGTAATTCCCTTGCCTTTTTTTAATGCAGTGTAACTAAACTAAAAAAATAATAATAATAATATACAAAGTGACGATCTAGAATTCGCGCAACAGACCTGGTTCCCCTCACCTCCCTACCAGTGCCAGTGCCAGTGCCAATGCCTGCGGAAGAATAAACCAAATACAACGATGTTAATCAGAAGGAGCGGCCTTATCCTGAGTAGATTTCGTTGATTCCAACTTTATCGTATTGATAATAATTAGTGAAGATATCAATCATTTTTATACTGACGGCGAACAGAAATATATCTTGAAATCTTACTAATATTATAAATGCGAATGTCTGGATGGATCGATAGTTGTGTGTATCTCGATGATGGTATCTCGTGAACGGCCGCATTTTTTTTTACATTTTTGTAAACCTGTACACGCTGTTGTAGGTACCGCTGGAAGAACATACATACACAACCTTTTATTTCTCTTTAGCATAGAAGCGTCATAATCCTATATTATATATAGCGGAGCTCGAGTTGTTCCGCATTTAGCCTCTCAGCCTCCCGTATAGGGCCTATAGAGCCAGCTATAGGGGTAAAGTTGACAAGAATTTGTTCTGATTGAATTAAGGGCGAGCGCTATCAATGTAGGTAATCAATCACACCACGATCTATCGGTTAATTATTTAGATATAATTCCGCGAGTCCCTTATCATGAATGTCTTAGTGGCTTGATGAAACAGATAACACTAAAATCACTATAAAACAAGGCAATAACAAGTGAAGTAGGTATTTATCGATCTGTTGTTGCGATGAAGTTAGTGCTAGCGAGTCTCTGCTGCTGCCTGGGGGCGCTGGGAGCGCTGGGGGCGCTGGTCGAGCCCTACGAGCCCCTGGAACTGAACTACCACGAGCGCATCGGCATCCCCCTCGCCGACTCCCTCAGGCAGGCGGAGCTCGCGGCTGACTTTGATGGCAGCAGGATCATCAGCGGCTCGCAGGCCGCACTCGGCGCCTACCCTTACATGGTGAGATAGACGAGAACGACGAGACCTAAAGTATAAATGACAAATAATCTGAAAAAGTGGTTTTACGCTTTCAATAAATTAGATTCTACAAGTACAATTGTTTTTTTTATATGTATCGTGTCGTAGGCAGGGCAGATCATGACGCTGCAGAACGGCCGCGAGTCTATCGGCGGGGGCACTCTGATAAGCAACACGCGGGTGCTGACCGCGGCGCACAACTTATTCGACGGGCGGCAGATGGTGCGCCATGTGACCGTCGTGCTCGGCTCCGTGCACATCTTCTCCGGCGGCACCAGGATCACCTCCAACAGGATGGAACTGCACGGCAGCTACAACACCGCCACCTTACACAACGATATCGCCATCATCACAATCAACTGGGTTAACTATAGCAGTTAGTTTTTTTTTTTTTTAATCGAATTTTGGTTCTGAAACAAAGATTCCTTTAAAATGCGTTCAATGTCCTCCATGATGTATATGTTTAGTACCGTGAATGGTTTCAGACACCATCCGCAATATCGGGCTGGCGTCGGGCAGCAACACGTACGCCGGCGCGTGGGCCTGGGCCGCCGGCTTCGGCAAGACCAGTGACGGTGAGCTATGGCATGCATCACTACTCACACCACATTATAGTCGCTTCTTGTTTAGGACAGCTTGGAGCCCCTCGTAGGGGTCGTGTATGTGCCCACGACACACAACACGGATGAAATTGATACTGTTATGTTTGACAACAATATCGGGACCATATTGTAAACAAACCTCGCATCAGAATAGGATAGTAATCGCTTTGAAATACAACGATAAGTTCGAATAATAAAAACAAATGTTCCTGGCCCTCGTCTTCACGTGGCCCTATTCTAATTTTTTTTTTTATGTGTATCTGTAAGGAAATAAATGGCCTTATTATTGTTATAAAGCGTTCCAAGTTTTATTAATTTTAATTTGTGACGGGCGATCATTCAGTGGCACCGGCGAGCCCGAACCTGATGCACGTGCGCGTGCAGGTGATCACAAACGACGTGTGCCGCAACACCTTCCCCGGCAACTTCGTTATCGCCTCCACGCTCTGCATCAGCGGCGCCACCGGCAACATCTGCACCGGAGACTCCGGCGGCCCGCTCGTCGCCAACAACCTGCTCGTATGTCCTCCCACCTGCCTTGTACTTCTACCTTACTGCTGTATCCTCTCACTGCTTCACCTACTCCTCCATTTATTCTCATTGAATTTAGAAACATGTTACCACCAACCAGAGATATTGTAAATAAAGTAACCGAGGATTCGTCATTCCGCGGTGGTGTCTGTGCTCGTTGGCCTGAGAGGGTGTGCGCCGACAGCCACTCATTCATTGATTTACAGCTAAATGCACAAAGGAATGAATATCTTTTGCATCTTCATCATTTGTAAGTGTCTGTATTTTTTTTTTAAATATCTTCAAAAGACTGATATTTTCCAGCGCGATAAATTCGTTCTCGTCTTTGTTATCTGTTTGATGTGTATTCAAATGCAATTGTGAACAAAGTGAAGGAAAGTGAAGGATATTCGCTTGATGATGTTACAGATCGGGGTGACGTCATTCGGCGGGGGACAGTGCGACGCGCGCCGCCCCTCCGGCTTCGCTCGCGTCAGCTCCTTCAACTCATGGATCAGAGCGCGCATGTGATGCCGCACACCGCAAAAATAAATTACTGCTTACAAAAACTATATTATTACTTATCAAATTACTAAACCTCCCTATCGCCTCCTTTTGTATCCTTTACAGTCAGAAATGTCATATATAGTTTCCCGCCCGATAGTGGAACCTCCCAATGTGTTCCACAATTTTACAGTTTTTCTTATACACTAGATACTCGTACTTGTATCACAAGGCGCAGAAAGCAGTCGTCCTAAGCGATTTGATACTATTGTCTGAGTGCTGCCGGGGCACAACCTGGCCTCCTACCAACTAACATAATACTATATCTATTTCTATACTTATACTAGCTGTCGCCCGCGACTCTGTCCGCGCGGGATTACAAATAGATACGCCTCGGGGAAGGCACGGTAGTTATGTGGGATTCTCTCCCCGAAAGGGAGCATACCCACTAAAT